ACCAAAACAACTTTAAGTCCATTTGATGATAAAAGATATTTATTAAAAAATAGTACAGACACTCTCGCTTGGGAACATTGTAATATTGTAAACGATAATAACGATAATGATGTAGAAATGTTACAAGTCTGATGTATATATTTCTTATTTATATTAATTGTACATATTGAAAAAGAGTTGCAATCGAAGGAGAAGCGCAATTAAATTCTTAATAAATAAAAACTTTTTATTAATTTTATGTCTACTTTATTTAATAAAACCTTCATATACATTATTACAATCGTTGACATAGCTCTAACAAGTATAAATAAATTCTTAGAAGATGCATTTGTTCCTTTTCAAAAATGCAAGTTGAAACATGTCTAGTATGTAAAAAGCATAAATCTTCTCTATGTTCCTTTTCAAAAAAGGAAAGTTGAAACGTGTCTAGTCTGTGAAAAGCATAATTTTTTTTAGATTATAAAGACTTTTTTTGTTTCCTCTAACAATGAAGTTGGAACTTGTCTAAACTTGCTTAATCGAATTCAGTATATTAAAAGCACATTCTTTTAAAATTTCTAAAAGCTAACTTTTACTTTTCTAAAAGTTAACTTTTTCAAGGAGTAGTCGTTCTCTCTTCCAGAGGAGTACTGGTTACTCTCCTCAGAAAGCAAATCAAAATAGTGTTCTATTAGCGTTATATACATATCTTTGATGGTTATAATTATATTCATAAAAATTCATTCTTTATTTATCAAAGAATATTAATTAATTGTAATCGTCTAACAATTATATAAGTTTTAAATTAATACTTAATTATTAATACTAAACTGTTTTAATTAATTTCGTAAGAATAATAATGTTTAATTAATAATTTTTAATTTAAAATGCATATAACAGATAAATTAGAAAAAATAAAAATTTTAGTTTATTTATAATTAGATTGACAAATTAAATGTTGTGTAAATAAATAATTAGTTAAACTTACTGAAATAATTGAGGAGCAAGGTTTTGAAAGTTGATAAATCCATATATTGTTTTTTTGAGAAATTTAAAGAAACGTCATTTTTTACATAGCCTCTAAAACTTATTTTGGGGTAAAAAATGTTAATTAATTATATCCATGAGAATAAAAAAAATTTTAAATTAAGATCATGTAAGTTAAGTTAATATATTTTTAAAATAAAAATTCTTTGTTAATAATTTTTTTTAAATTTAACATTGACAAATTTAATTAATTAATTTACTACCAATTGCCCGATGGAAAAGATAACGAATACTCAATAATTAATTTATTAAATCTGTATTTATTTCAAGACAAAACTTATGCGTTGATTTTGTATCAGCACTGTATATAAACACATTTGCCTGATGGGCGAACCAAACAGTAACATTGTATATATAACGTTAATTATTGTTTTAATTTTTAGAAAAGAAAACGTAATTACTGGTCTATTATCTTAATTCATTAATATTATTAACAACTGGGAAGGATACTTTAAGTTCAATATAAAGGACCCCGCACAAACATAGGGGAAAAAAAATTTTCGGTCAAATTTTTTTTATACTTTGCAGTTTTGTAGCTTATTATCTCCTGAATAAAAAATGTTAATGGCAAAACCCCGGAAATTCAATAGTTTTTGACTTACACTATGTTGAGTCTCAATAAATGGGAAAAAATGAATCAAGTTTCGTAAAGATTGCATAAGGCTTACTCAAAGCTTAAGGCTTCTTTACGGCTTAAGACTCAAGGCTCAAGGCTTGATAAAGACAGGCAAGGCAGGCTTATGGCTCAAAGCTCCATTAAATCTCAAGGCTTGCTCAAGGATCCAAGCACTCCTAAGCACCAAGTCTTCTTACGACACCAGGATTGATTGTAACTCAAGCTTTGATTATGGCTCAAGACTTGATAATGACTCAAGGCTTGATTATGGCTCAAGGCTTGATTATAACTCAAGGCTTGATTATGGCTCAAGGCTTGGTTCTGGCTCAACAGCTTGTTTATGGATCAAGATTTAATCGTAGCTCAAGACTTGGTCCTGAATCACGGCGTGATCATTGCTCAAAGCTTGGTTCTGGTTGAAAAATTGTTTATGGATCAAGACTTGATCATGGCTCAAAGCTTGTTTATGGATGAAGACTTGATCATGAATTAAGGCTTGGTCTTGGATCAAGACTTAATCATGGCTCAAGGCTTGGTTCTGGTTCGAATCTTGTAAACAAAATTTGAGCCATATTCAAGCATTAACTCTTAAACAAGACTTAAGACATATTCAAGCCTTGAGTTATAACCAAGCTTTGAGCCATAAACAAGACTTGAGCCAGAACCAAGCCTTAAGCCATAAACAAGCCTTGAGCCATATTCAAGCCTTGAGCTATAACTAAGCTTTGAGCCATATTCAAGACTTGAGCCAGAACCAAGCCTTGAGCCATAATCAAGCCTTGAGTTATTATTAAGTCTTGAGCCACAATCAAGCCTTGAGTTCTAATCAAGCCTTGAGCCATAAACCAGACTTGAGCCAGAACCAAGCCATAAGCCATATTCAAGCTTCGAGTTATAACCAAGCTTTGAGCCATAAACAAGACTTGAGCCATAATCAAGACTTGAGCCAGAACCAAGTCTTGAGCCATAATAAAAGCTTGAGTTACAATCAACCCTGGTGTCGTAAGAAGACTTGGTTCTTAGGAGTGCTTGGATCCTTGAGCAAGCCATGAGATTTAATGGAGCTTTGAGCTATAAGCCTGCCTTGCCTGTCTTTATAAGAATAAGCAGTCTACCCTCCAGTGACAGCGGCTTACCTTCACACGAAGTTACACAGCTCTACCTCGTTTAACGCAACTGCTTTACCGGCGAGTTGAACTGTTCTACTTTTTTTTCTCCGTGTAGGGTTGCATTTGTTAAAATTCACATTTAATTTAAGAATAGAGTGAAGTTGCTAATTTAATTCTTTTTTCTGAAATTCATTTATAAGTATGAGAGTTATTTGCTTACCATTTTCATTATAAAAGTTATCTAAATCTGTTTGTAGGGAAAATATCTTCTGTTTTTGCAGTAAATGATGTCAAATCGAAGTTCCATCAGCTAAAGTCTTTTTAAATTTAGCTACTAGGATTGTATAAACTTTTAGACAACCTAACCTATTCAAACAGGCTTTAAATTGATTTTCAAAAATTGAAACGGCATCATCTAAGAATAAATTAATATCTATGTGTCTCATATTAATAATTGTTCCGCTTTAAATTCAAGAGTTAAATGCCCTATCAGTCACAGTCCATTTAATTCTATAATTCGCTTCAGAACCCTCTCCACGTTTCATTACCGAATCAAAGTGTCATTCAAAATAACAAATTTGTTTTAGTAAATTCAGAATTCACTCTTTTTGATTACCTTTAACAGCAGAAAAACGTTAAGAAATTTTTTTTTGAAAGAGCATAATGTTTTTAACATTTACTACGCATATGTAAAATAAAAAGACATTTAAATGATTGGTTGGCCAAACAGGTTAAAAATTCAAAAATTCCTGCGATCAACAGCACCATCTAGAGACATCGGTCACTAACACCGATATATGGTAAAGTATAGTTACCATTGGTAAATAGGGACTTACCATGAAAAAAAAGAAGTTTCAAAAAGTGGTGCCCTCTTTTGAAAAACTAGTAAAATAGGAACTTACGATAAAAAATAAAATCGGCATACAAAATAGTGGGATGGAAACTTAAAAAATACATATGAAAATGAGTGGGTGACCAAGTGGGAGGTGATTGGATGGAATTTAAAAAAAAATGCGTGTGCAAAATAAAAAAGACATACTTAAATGAGTGTGTGGTCGGTGATGGCCAAGTGGGAGGAAAGTGGGTGGGATTCTCTAAAAAGGCATAAGCAAAAAGGTAAATTAGGAATGTGTAGTGGCGCCCTCTCTTTCTAAATAATATAATAATAATATAATATATAATATATAATATAATAATAATAAAAATATAATATAACTTAAAATTTTTGCTACTGTAAGAGGGTAAGGTAGATATCTTCCAGTAGCGCCCTCTATTGATGATAGTCATTGGTCAATATTCTAAAAGTTTAAAAATAAATAGTTATAAAATTTAAGTTAAAAAATAGAACAAAAAAATTTAAATAATTTTAATTCTACTGCTGCGAGTACCGGAGGTCTGATGCTATTGTGTATGAAAGCTGAAACAGAATGACTATCCACGCGTTAGATGCTGCATACAATATGTAGCTCCCCCACCATCTCTCTGCCCCACAACTCTCACGATTCTTTGACTAGACACTCACGTTACCATGTCCAGCGCATTGGGTCCTCTCACGCCACCCACTCCCAACCTTCCACCGTTCCGTGCGGTATTTTGCGAACACTTTATCTCTCGAAGTTCTAATTACGATTTTTGAATTTTTCGGACCGTATATGTTTATTCATGGGAAAGACATATTCAAATTAGAGAGTCGTGTGAGACCAAAAGGGTAGCCTTTTCTTCTCTTCTGAATTCTTTTTTACAAAGAACCGCAAGAGGGTAGAGCTACTATAATAAAAGCATAAACTTATTTTTTGTAACACTATTTTCTACAATTTTTTGTAATAAAATTAATAGATTGCGAGTTATTTGTTAAGCTAAAATCCCTTTTTATCATTGCTTAGCAGGATAGATTTTTTGTCTGAAGTTTAATGAAACATATTATAACTTTTATAAAAACTACATAGATGAAAAAATCATTTTTTCTGAGTCAAGTGCAAAGAACACATTTTTTCAGTTGACAATGCCTAATTTGTTCGTCACCTAATACTCTTCGTTTTAGTTTCTGATAATGATGCTAGTTATTGCCGAGATATAAGAAAAAGGAAACAAAGTTCTTTTTACTTGACTCGGAAAGAATGATTTTTTCATGAATATAATTCCTGACAGAGTGATAAATTTATTAATATGCTTTAATAAAAACTTATTAAAACGTCCTTTTTAAACCATAAATTATGCTAGTCATTTCATGTAAACTTTTTTCTATTCAGTCAATTTCATAAAAAGTCTGAACATGGAACGCCAATTACGAGTAATAATAAATATGACTTGCTCTTCGGTGTCACTACAAATGAAGCACTGTGGAAATTTGCTGATAAAGATATACAACAAGGATTTGAAGGTGATAGGAGGGATCGAATTATCAGAACTTATGTGAGGAACTCATATTCTTATCATCTGACTGAAATTTTTTATACGGTAAGACGATAATTTTTTAAGTTTTTATTCAAGGTAATTAAGAACTTTTCAGCAAAAAGCATGTTTAATATTTTATTTTTTCAACTGTTAAAAACTTTGCTAAAAATTTTAGTAAAATTAAGACGCAAATATCATAATTCTAGACTATAAAATTTTTTATTCTAATTAAGATGTTTTGTTAGCACGGTTACTGCCCTCTTAAGTCTAACATAAGTTTTGAATTACATATTATTAAATTTAAATTATTTCCAATGAGAAATGACTAAAAATTTCGAAGCAGCGGATTCAGTATGGCAACTAAAAATTTTTTTAGTAGCTCTATTAGATACGCAAATTTGTATTTTGAAAAACTGACTTCGGAATCGTAATCAGCGACCCTAAAACCCTTGAGTAGCAAATCTCAAGGGAATTTATTAGTTTTAAAATTTTTTTGTTTTTAACCCACATCCCCCTCTAAAAAGGTTATTTCCACCCTTAAAATCGAAACTTTGCCGATTTGAAAAAATCGCTTTTCTTTCATTGTTCTATGAAATTGTTGTACTTACATTCAATTTGGTGACTATCACTTAAACAGTTTTATTTCTGAAAAACCGCTTTTCTCTATTAAAGAATAAGGAAAAAGTTGTGTAGCAATAAAAATAATAGTATATTATGTATCAAGGACCGCTACCTAAGTCATTATGAATCGAGCGATGTTTGCGGGACGAGTCGTAGGCTCGCGCGAGCCGGAGACGAGTCTGGCAAAAATTGATAGATTCATAATAACGTACGGTCCGTCATGCATACGATATTTTATGCAACACAATGTTATGGGCTGCAAAACATATATTTAGGAAAAAATCAAATAATTTACACAGAAACATAAAAGAAAACAAATGACAGGAGATGTCATTTGTATTTGAGGTTAGGGTTGAATTTGAGTTTAGAGAAAAAACATTCAATCCCGCTTTCATAGAAACCACTGAAATCAAAAGGAAGTTAAATCGTTAAAGCGCTTCTTTTGAATTTTGTCATACAAATGTAATATAGTAATATTGATATAATTTTGTCACAGAACCACTATCAAGCATGCATGAGAGTTTATGAACGAAAGGGATGGTTTACCCCTCGACAGGGTCTAGGGGCGGAGCCCCGGCGGGGGGTTGGGGGGCGAAGCCCCCCGATTATAAAAAACCAACTCAAAAGATTAAAAAAATATTTTTTTAATTTTTAAAGAAAAAAATGAAGAAAATAAAGAAATGCTAAAAAATCATTATAGAAGTAATTTTATTATTACAAACTTCTTTTATTTTTAAATTTTTAATTCTCTTTTGCAGCATACTGATTTGTAATTTAATGATAATATAAGTACTTTCTATTAAAGTCTGCCCCCTCGCGGTCAAAATATCGAAGCTTAGGTGGTTAGCTATATATATTCCTTAAATCGGTGAGGCTACACACATACGCATAATGTAATGGCTAAGCCGAATGACGTTCGGAATTGATCGGGCGGGCTCGTGTATCTTTGCGTGAATTAGAGAAACAAACTGAAAACGAACCGTGCGGGCCTTATCCAATGTTTTGACTTTTTTTCAGATAAAGTATATGAGCCGGTTTTTGAAACAATTCACTAATCGACAATATTTTAAAGGTTAAATTTAGAAATTTTAATTTAAATTAGTAATTAAAATACAATTTTAATTTATTATTTAAATTTCATTTTAAATTTTTATAAAATTTAGAATTCTAAATGTTCTCTCTTCGAATGCATAGTTGAATAAGTACGAAATTCGTTTTCAATAAATCTTATCATAATTATTTTATAATAAGTAAAAAAAATTTCGGTATTACAATATTATCTTTATTTATTTAATTCAGTTAAATCATCGATTAGTAATGTGAAATAATGTGCTTTTGTCAAAGTCATATTAAAAGAAAAATTAAATTCTTTTTATTATTTTGCCGTTAAAATTTTTGAAAAATATTTTTTGTAATATAATAAAATTTTAGAATTTAAAAATTTTACCTAATACTGACAACAATGTTTATAATTTAATTCTTAAGAATGTTCTCATTTTATTTAAAATTGAATCAATTTTTTATGTCTATTTAATAGTTTATTAAAAAATATAATTTTTTTTATATTATACTTTTAAATTTTCGATTTGTAAATGCTTACACATTATAAGTATAGCTTACATTTTTTAAAATATTAAATTTAAAAACATTTTGTCAAGAGATTAAATTTTTTAACTTAAAATAAATAGGGTAAATGCTCCAGTGGTGGATCAGGCACCAATGGTGGATCAACAGCGTTAAAAAGGTTAAAATAAACTATTTCTAATTGAACTAAATGTTTCAATCGTTTAGGGGAGGTGTATAGATAAGTTTTATGAAATAAAATCATTTGAAAATATTTAGGAAAACAAAGCAATACAACAATTGTTGATTTTATGCTTTTTCACATGAAATCTTAAAAAATAATTGTTTAGTCTAAATTTTTTTAATTTTTATAGTAGAAAGTAATCAATTCTTTCCATATAGAATACTTTTGGAAAAAAAATTACATCATTAAGTTATTTTTGTGTAGTGTAAAGGGGTAAATGATCCACGACTGGAGCAATGTCATTTTATTGTTGAATGTGGGTGTGAGGGGGTGTAAACGTTACAAGCAGGTCGAAAACTACACGATAGTGTCCTTGAAAACTTGTTAATTCATACTATTGTAAAGATTACCCTATATTTTTCATCTGAAAAAATCTGTACACCTTTAAAGTCAAAATAATAAATTTAGTAGGCTTAATTGATCCACCACTGGTGCAGTTACCTAAATAAAATAATCAATTTTAAAAAATATTTTATAGGTTTTTAAATCAGAAAAATTGTTTTTGTAAATTAATAAATTATTTTTTCTTTGGACTTGTCCAAGTAAAAAATGATTAAATTTTAAATAAAATGAGAATATTCTTAAAATTTAAATTGTAAACATTGTTGTCAATACCTATTAAAATTATCCACAATTTAATACATTATTAATTTGTATAGAATATTCCATGGTGTTTAGTTTCACATTATTATTTATGTTTAACTAAATTGAATAAATAAAGATAATATTTATAAAAATGATGTCAGTTTTTTTTACTTTTCAATAGTGTTATCAAAAAAATTTGTTTTTCATTTTTTATTAAAAAAGTAACAATTTTTTATAAACAAATTAAATTTTTTTTAATTTGTATGTGATTTTTTTAAAACATATCTGGAAATAAGAAGAAGATTTAGTGAAAAAATTTAGAGTCAGCCAATAAGTTTTATATTTTTCTGTATTTAAAAAAAACACCACTTGCAGCATTGTGCACATTTTTGAATAGTAAAAAAAATTGATAAATTGTTAAAAATTATTTAAAAAATTTTTTTTTGAAACCTGAAATTTTATTTCACTATGAAAAATGAAAGAAAATTTTTTTTTTTTTTTTTATTTTTTAATAATTTAACAATTTTTTTTACTTTTCAGAAATGTGCACAATGCTGCGCGCAGTGTTTAAATGTATATTTAAACCTATAATCTTAGTTATTTCCAGTATTTCTTAGTATTTTCAGGTATGTTTAAAATTTTTTTTTAAAAATCATATTCCAATTTAAAAAAACTTAATTTGTTTATAAAATTTTTTTATTTTTTAATAAAAAATAAAAAAAAAATTTCGTTAACATTATTGAAAAGTAAAAGATAAACTGGAACTTTTCTTCTCTTGGCAAAAATTGAAAAAATCCAATTTTTTGTATACATTTACAAAACTGAAATTTTGAAAATTTATAACTCGAAAATTTGCATAAAGAAAGTATCTTTTTTCACTACAGAACACGAAAAAATTATATTTGGCTGAAATTAAAGGGTCGACTGAAATCTCACGTGAAATCACCCATACGTTTAAGAAAAACATTTTTTAATTAAAAATTTATAATAATTATTGAAAACGAATTTCGTACTTATTCAACTATGCATTCGAAGAGAGAACATTTAGAATTTTAAATTTTATAAAAATTTAAAATGAAATTTAAATAATAAATTAAAATTGTATTTTAATTACTAATTTAAATTAAAATTTCTAAATTTAACCTTAAAAATATTGTCGATTAGTGAATTGTTTCAAAAACCGGCTCATATACTTTATCTGAAAAAAAGTCAAAACATTGGATGAGGCCCGCACGGTTCGTTTTCAGTTTGTTTCTCTAATTCACGCAAAGATACACGAGCACGCCCGATCAATTCCGAACGTCATTCGGCTTAGCCATTACATTATGCGTATGTGTGTAGCCTCACCGATTTAAGGAATATATATAGCTAACCACCTAAGCTTCGATATTTTGACCGCGAGGGGGCAGACTTTAATAGAAAAGCGCGATTTGCATTACGTGCTTACTCTCAATTCCTCTCTGATCTTAATACAAAAACTATATTTGCTTTTCTTAATAATTACCAAACATAAACTTAAGCGAAATTAATGAACATAATATATTTTCTTTAATCACTATAAGTAAAATGAAAAAGTACAAATTAAAAAATATTTTTATCACTGAGAAAAAACTATTATTTCGCAAGGCAATATTAAACTTTCTTTTCGCACTAACAATAATATTGCTCTAATAGTTTAAAGAATGCTTTTTTTATTTCGCATTAAAATTGTGAACCGTGAAAGAGCAGTTATTAAAAATCAAAGGTCCTTTTTTCGGCGAAAGATTCACAGTTTGCGACTTTGATGTAGCAATATTTAATTGACATAAAATATCATTAGCTGAAATGTTAACTGTTTCTGAGTTTTGTGTCTTAACTCTTAATTCAGACAAGACATCGTTTTCATCAGTTCTTTGGCGCTTAGACGTTGAGGATTCGTTTTCACGATCGTGAAGAATTTTTTTAGCTGAACTGAAGCCAAGAGCAGACGATATTTGCTTGCTGACTTTACACTTGTTTGATATTGAATCTTCAACATATCCCTTTGCAACACTGGTCGATTTCCATTCTC